CGTCGGCCGTCTTGCTTCTCAGGCCTTCTTGGGGCGCTCTTGAGACGCCCCCGAGGGCTCTAAGACGACCCCGGAGCGATACCTGTGCTCGGTCCCGCATGGGTTTTGCAAACCAAGTTGCGGGTGGGTGGGTGGTATGATTGCGCGAGCAGTGGAGTTGAACATTTCAAGTTCGGCAAGTGAATTGCACCGCATAGATTGCACCACACAGGTTGCATTTATTGCACGATGTTTGTTGTTCGCACCTGCGGCGCCATTCTTGATCGTTCGCAACAGATATGGCAGCACACACACACACACGCTGCACAACATATAGTGTACCACGTAGCTTGCACATCAAATATTGAATAATACATATTGCACCACATAGAGTGCACTACATATATTGCACAGGATAGATATCACCACATAGACAGCACAACATATTGCACAACATAGATGGACACACTGTTTGGGGCCCAGAGTCCACGTTGGCTATTTGGGGTCCACGCTGGCTAACATATATCAACGCGTTTTGGTTGGTTGTGCCGGCCTGTATGTTGCGCCCTTGAGCAGGGTGGATTTGGCACCAGACTATTTGAAACAAGCGAGTGGGTGCATAATAAAGGCGGTGAAATTCCCCCCCCATCCTCTCAAGGGGGGGGTAACAAAACCTACCCGCCGCGGTGCAAAAGCGAAGGGGGGGGAAACCTCCTACCTTCCTACAGGGGGGATTCTGGAACCCCCCAGGGTTGCGAGCACGGAAAGACGGCGACGACGCCGGCGCCGACGACGATTACGACGACGGACGATGGACGACAATGGACGACGACGACCGACCACGACGATGACGATGACGAAAACGAGGACGACGATGACGACCACGACGACGACGAAGACGACGACGACGAGTGATCACGGCGACGGGGACGATGACGACGACGTCGACCGACGAACGACGACCCACGAACGGCGACGCTGACGACGAAAGACGGACCAGGGACGAGGACGAAGACGACGACGACGAACGAGGTCAGCGAGGACGACGCCGACGTCGACGACGACGACGACGACGCGACGACGAAGACGACGACGCCAGACGACGACGACGACGACGAAGGACGACGGCGATGGCGACGACGACGACCACGACCACGACGGACGACCGACGTCGACGACGACGACTTCGACCGACGAACGACGACCCATGACCGACGACGATGACGACGGAAGACGGACCACGGACGACGGATGAAGGCGACGACGGCCGTGGTAAGCGAGGATGACGACGTCGATTTCATCGACGACGACGACAATTACGACGACGACAGACGACGGAGGACGGAACACGGCGATTTTCACGCGGACGAATACGACGACGACGACAACGACGGGAAACGACGACGGGCTTTCTTGTGCAAAGTATCATATACACCTTCTTTTCATGTTTTGCTCACCCGACCCCAACCCGCTTTTAGGGTCCGCCCGCCCGACCAACCCGTCGCTTAGGGTCCGCACGCACGACCCGACCCGCCTGTGTTAGGTCCGCCTGCCCGACGACTTCCTCCCGACGACCTGCCCGCCCGCGTCGTCGTCGCCGTCCCGGACCGTCGTCGTCTTTGTCCCCGTCGTCGTCAGGTTCCAGATCAGAATGGAGGAGAATTCAGCTCTCCAGGTTCCAGTGGGAGGCTGGTTTCGGGCGGTCTTTTTGGATTTTCACGTGGCCGGTGGGGCCTGGTTGGGGAGACCCGCCTAAGAAGTATTTTCCAGCACAGCGATTTTGAAACGCGCTCTCAAAGCACTTGGGGCCCATTTCGGGTTTGGGACAATCCACAACGGATCACGGCGGAGACATTGGCCCTGGGGAAGGGATCGGAATTTCCAGGCCGCGCGTCGCAAAAGATAGTAATGTCGGGTGCCTGGGTGCTCTTGTTTGGGCCCCCTGTGATCGGGATGGGCTTCCTCGAGTTCCTGGCGATCGTGGTGATCCTCATCGCCGGGCTGCTGCTGTACTCGGAGTGAGCTAGCTGTCGGCGCGGGGTCTCCGCTCGAGATGCCCTGGAGGCGTATCTTGCTCCTCCCTTCTTTCCTCCTCGTTCTCGGCTCCCACGCCTCGTCTCCCTCGAAGGGGAGATCACGGGCAACGCTTGGGAGGGATATGCTCAGGGCTCTCGAGGGCCGCAAACGGTGAAACACCTTTGGTCGACATGGCTTCACGACGCAATAATGTCAATGCCTTCCTCTTTCTTCCCTCCCACCTTCCTCCCGCTCCCCTCAGGGGCAACGTTGGGGGGGATGGGCTCATGGGGGGATGCAACGACCCCCAATCGCCCCCTCATCGGGGCCCGATCGCCCACACCGTTAAGAAAACGTGCGGATTCTCTACTGGGGGCCTATCACCGATCTATCGGTGAAGTATCGTCGATTCCGGCTCGACGTTTCCCCCGCGGAGTTGGGCCCCTCCTGACGTTGCCCCTCGCCCTCTCTTCTTCGAAGGAGAAAAGAATCGGGCTACCCAGGACCCGGAGAAATCGAACAAGAGCGTTTGGAAGCGACGTCGGAGCGCTCTGGAACGCCCCCAGTCCCTTATATATGCTGCGGGGTCGAGGATTCACAGACCCCCCCCCCAGATGGGATGGGCCCCAGTCGAGGGTTCCACAGGCCCCCCCCCCGGATGGGATGGGGGGGGACGACCCCGACGACGACGACGACGTCAACGACGACGAACACGGCGGCGATCACGACGACGACGCCGACGCCGACGCCGACGACGCCGACGCCGACGCCGACGCCGACGTCGACGCCAACGCCGCCGACGTCGACGCCAACGCCGCCGACGTCGACGTCAACGCCGCCGCCGCCGCCGCCGCCGCCGACGACGACGACGACGACGACGGTGACGGCGACGGCGACGGCGACGACGACGAGCCACCCCAGGCCCACTGGGGGAAGGGGGTGCACCGGCACCCTCCACCACGCCACGCCCACAGGGCCACGACCACAGGGGGGGTGAGCGATCCCACTCGCGAGGCCTTCGCGAGGCTCCCGGGCGTGCCCATCCAGCAGGGGTGTTGGGGGCTCGATCCCACCTGCATTTGGGGGGGCGGGGTCGTCGGCAGTCTGCGAGGCTCTAAAGAAGCCCCGGCTTTGTTTGTCAAGTGGTAAACAAGCCATTGCAGGCGCCAGGGTCGTGGGTGTGTCGTTGGGTGGGTCGCGGGGTGGGTCCCCGGGTGGATCGCGGGGTGGGTCGCGGGCGGGTCGCGGCCGAGGTCAACGACAACGACAACAACAACAACAACAACAACAACAACAACAACAACAACAACAACAACAACAACAACAACAACAACAACGACAACAACAACAGCAGCAGCAGCAACAACAATCATTTTAAGATTGTTCGCTCTTACTGGCACGCGTGGCTTGCATTCCGTATACCCCGACCCTCGATACCCGCCCATTTCGTCTTCGATTGCACCGCCTTTCGGGGGGAATCTCTTCCTTGTCGGCCACTGATTGAAGTGCGAGGAAATCTCGAGCCAGAGCGCCGTTCCTGAGTTCGGGGGCATCTCTGGCCAGGGGCCCTCGGACTACCTATGGAGAAATATAAGATGGGAACCCTTGTCGCCGTGTCCGAGCCTCCAACTTGCTTGATTTACGAGAAAGTCTCGAGCGAGAGCGCCGTTCCTGAGTTCCTGGGCCTTCTTGGCCAGGGGTTCTCCGAGTAAATCGTGAGGAAGTATCGAGCAGGAGCCCTTGTCGTCGTGGCTGGGCCTCCGCCAACTTGATTGAATTACGAGGAATTCTCGAGCGAGAGCGCCGTTCCTGAGTTCGGGGGCCTCTCTGGCCAGGGTGTCTCGAGGTAAATTATGAGGAAGTATCGAGCGGGAGCCGTTGTCGTCGTTGCTCGGCCTGCCCACGGTTAGGCTCAAGCCAACGCTCGAACGGAAGCCTCGTTTTCAAAGAAAATGTAGCCGGCGTCGCCGCGAGAGCGCGCGGAACCATTTCCTGAGATCAGCAATAATGGTTTTGAGGGGAAGAGAGGACGAATGGAAGGGGGAGGGAGAAGGATGGAGCAAGCACGAGAGGGGCAGGAGGGGGGCTCGAAGCAGAAAACGCACGGCTGAACTAGACAGTCTGATCGTGGGGAGCGGAAAGTTGGGCCCACCAGGCGGCAAGGTCGGGCAGGCGGGTTGCTGAGGCGTTAATATTGCATGCGTCGCCACGCGAGAGCGCGATCCCTGCATAATTATAGTGTGAGGACGTCTCGCGCGGCAGCGTGATTTTGAAATACATTGTAAGGAATTTTCAGGCGGGAGCCGTTGTTGTTGTAGTTCGGGGGCCAACATTGCATTTTGGTGACAGCATATTCTATCTGATAAGAAACAGGGTGCGAGCCCACGGAGGAGCATTCGAGTTGAAAGCACGGAATGGTCACTGATAGGGGGGTCAACAAACAATCAGTTTTCCAGAAATCAGAGTTCAGCAGCAACAACACCACCAAGAACAACACCAACAACAACACTCAGTTTAATAGTGTTCGCTCTTACCTGCACGCGTGCCATGAAAACGTACAACCCACACCCTCGATACCCGCCCTCTTCGTCTTCGATCGGACCCCCCAGGGCCTGAGGGGGTATAGATTCCCTCTTTGCCGCGCGTAATTAGTGCTGCCCCGAATGCAGGCAAAGCGAGGACGAATGGAAGGGGGTGGGAGAAAGATGGAGCACGAGAGGGTTCAGCAGGAGGGGGTTCGGAGCAGAAAATACATGGCAGAACCAGACGGGCTGACCCGGCGGGTAGGCCCTAACGGGCGTGTGAGGAAGCGGGCCCAGGTGACCAGGTCGAGCAGGCGGGTTGCTGAAGCGTGAGTCCTGCATGAATCGCGAGGCGGTCTCGTGCGATAGCGCGATTCCCAAATAGAATGTGAGGAATGGCAGAGCGAGACCGCGATTCCTGAGCGACGAGGGCGCGGCGTCTCAATGAAATGCGAGGGCTCCCACGTGAGAGCGCGATTCCTGCAGAAATGGTGAGGGGGTCCCGCGCGAGAGCGCAAATTTGAAACAATGTGTGAGGAAGTATCAGGTGGGAGCCGCCGTTGCTGTAGACAGGGGGCCAACAACACAATTCGAGGAGGAACATTCCCCTGATTCAAAAAAAGACGGTGCGCGTTCCGGGAGGAGAGCATTTGAGTGGAAAAGCAGAATGTGCATTGGGCAGGGGGGATCAACAATAAGTATCTTTTAGGAATGAGAACTCAACAACACCTCAACAATCCGCACCGCGGAATCTCACTTCAGCCACGCGCCCAGGGACAGTGAATGATTGTTCGCCCCCCCCTTCACTCTAACCTTCTTCCAGAGCTGCCAGATCTTCGAGATCCCCGATATGTCCCGGTCCGATTTATCCTGGGTTTGGCTTCGTCTTAACGAAGCGTCGTAATAATATGTCTTCGGAGGTCCGTGCGCACTTCCTCGGGCTGCCGCTGGACCCCCCCCCCGCCCGCGTAGCGTGCCAGGGGCGTTGGGGTCAGGGGGGTCCAGCTCCGACCAGTGGACATCGGAGGGTTGTTGTTTGTGTCGGCTTGTTGTCTTCAGCTTCTGTGTCTTTCGGGGGTCGCATGCCCACTGCTCATCGTAATCTGCCAGGTGGGATTCTTAAGTTTGTAATTCAAAATGTGATTTCAAGTTTTGTGATGCACTGGGCATCCCTGAGGAGGTACAGAAACTCGTTGACGGGTGAGCCAGACCAGCTTCTCTTCCTCGCTATCAAGAGGTACTCGGCCCAATTCCCGACGTAGGAAAAGACGAGGCTTGTTCTGGGACGATTGGCTGGATCATCCAGGGACCAACTCGGAGATATACGAAGTGTGGGCATCCACCCTCGATTGGGGGGCGCCCGATTGGCCCTCCAGGGTGTGTACATCCCAGAGTTCGCCTGCTGTTCTGATCGGCCAGCTTTTTGGGGGGAAGCTCGGGGACTGGGGGCGGGCCATCTCCCGCGATGCGCCTCCCCACCTCTATCCCCCTCCCCTCCCATCGCCTGGCTCCTTTCCTCCGGTGGACGAGTGCAACCTGTGTCGGCGCAGCCGCATGCCGGCGAGAGGTCAGGGGCGTCGGCGCGTCGGCGCTTGCCCTGGGGCGTGTCCGCGTCGTTCGGTGCAGCTCGGCCCCTCGTGCTTGGCCAAAGGCTCCCGTAGATTTCCTCCCTGCCCCGTCCCCTCCCCCAAAAATCGCCCGCGGGCGACCGCCGCGCTCCTGTGGGAGGCCAGATGCGGGCTATTAGTTGGTAGAGCGCGCCGCACGGCACCAGCAAAACGCCCCCGCGGCCGTCTCTTCCTCCTCGTCCTGCACCTCGCCATCCTCCACGACCTGACTCTCGTGCTCCTCCTCGTCCCTCTCCCCCGTCCTTCCTCCTCCCTCCTCATGGCCCTCGTTCTCCCGCTCCGCAGAGTTAGGCACCCCCAGGTGATGATGGGGTTCTGTTTTTTTTTCCGACGACGGCCTCCGTTGGTTTTCATGATATTCGCGAGGATGTGGGTGCGGTTCAGCAATCTTTTCAGGATTTTAGTTGGTCTCGCGCCGCAAGAACACCGCCACCAGAGATTCCATCGCGAGGCCCAGAGTGCTCCGAGGGGGCTCCAGAGCAGCGCGAATGGCAGGGGCACCTCAGGCCCAGAGCGCCTAAGCGGCGACAACGAGGGTGGCGACGGCGACGACGACGGCGGCGGCTCTTCACGAGGCCCCCCCTGGTCCACATGTGGCCTGAGAGGTCACGCGGGCGCGGAAGAGCATCGCCAACAAGGAGACGTTTAGGATGGACTCGCCGGGCCCAGGCGCCGTGGGTGGACCAGTCGAGACAACGGCTGACCCTTCTCCTTGCCGCTTGGCTCTCATTTCGGGCCCAGTGGGGCCTGCATTTCGCCACAACTGGATCCGCTTGACAAGCCGGGTCAGGATGGAACCTGGCAGGGATTTGGAAACCGATGTTGGTCGGATTTGGACCCGGCGGTAGACTTGCCGTTGTCTCAGTTTGCCTTCTGAGGAGGGGTGAAGAGGCGGAGGAGGATTTGATGGTTTCCTACTCGAGCCGCCCATCACTTGGGCAGGTAGGCGGAACACTTTGACCGCTTTCTTGCTTCGTGTGTTCTGCCAGCTTCTTTGAGCGGCCTGAAGGGTCGCCCGCAGGCGCCTTCTTTTTTCCAGGCGACATGCTGCGCTCACTGGCGAGCGTGAGCCACCGCTTCAAGTCGCCGTGTCCTCGCGCGTAGTACATTATCTTCCAGGGAAGGTTAACTAAGCAGATCTACCTCGTTCCTCCCCCTCCCGCCTCCAATGAAGGAGGTAACAATCGGAGGAGATGAAGGGAGGAGGAAGGGGGTGCTCCAGTATCCAGCTGCCTGCGGCAAGCCCCGCCAACTTGCCAGCACAGTTTTCTGTTTGGCGATTGTTCGAGGGGGCACAGGAGGCCATCACGTGTGACACCTTGGGTCTCCACGTTGGGGAGAGTGATGATGAGGATGATCAGGATGATTAGGATGATGATGACGCGTAGGAAGAGTAGCAGCAGGAGAAGATAGAGGAATGCTGTCACATGTGACACGTTTTGTCTGCCTTCCTTCAAGAGCTCTCATGGCGCTCATTTAGTTCGTGATGGGGCTGTCTTGCAAACACGTCGCGCCATTATCAGAAGTATGTCATGGACTCGAGTGTTAGACTTTGCTAGTTTCGAGGATGACTTCTTCGACTTCGTGACCTCGCAGCAGCGTGCCTGCAACTTATGTGTTTCTCACCTTTTTTTCAGAACGGTGTGTTTGATTGTTGTTTGTCTTGTATGGCCTCCCCGCGCGATTGGACCTTGCTTGGGGCTGTATTGGCCTCTTGTGGGGCATCCTCGGGGTTCCGTTGGGGCCGTCTTGGGGCTCTTTTGAGCTTCACTGGACCCCGCTGAGGCTGTATTGGGTCTCTCTTGCACCGTCTTTGAGCCCTCTTGTCCGTATGAGTGTTTGGGGCCGTCATGCGGCCGTCTTGAGCCGTCGAAAGGCATTATGTGGCCGTCCTTGGTCTCCACAGGCCCTCAGGGACCGTCCTTGGGCCGTCTTGGATGACTCTTAGGTCATCGTGAGGTCCTCTGGGGTCTTGGGACCTTCTCTGGGGCCGGTGGGGCCGTCTTGGGCCATCAGAGGTTCTATGACGCCGTCTTGTAGAGCTGATGGGAAGTTGAAAAGGCGAGAAGGTTTACATTGTTTAACTGATGACAAGGACATACATGATGCCCCGTGTTTTCTGACCCTGTTCGGAGTTTTCTTGACGTTCTTGTTGGCCCTCTTGGAGGTACATTGGGCAGTCTTGAGACTATCGTGCGTCGCTTTGAGGCTATTCAAGACTCTTACGTCATTCCGCCGACCCCCAAAAGGAGGGAGGAACGCATGGAAGTTGTCTGATGGCTTCAGCGTTGTCCTTGCATTACTTCGTTGAGGAGGGGGAGGACAGGAAGGAGCTCTCACGAAGGCCTCGTGGCGGGACTGGTGGAGCTCGCATAGGAAGCCCTAGCGTGCGATTGTTTTGTCGGATGCTCGTGGAAGGCGACCCCCAGAGTAAGTGAGAGGTTGCGACGATCGTGGAAATTTGATCTATTGGGTCAGGAGCGTCTTGGATGCACATGAGGGGATCTCGTGGTGCCTTTCAGGGGCCTCTTGGAGGGCTCCTGGGGGAATCTGGGGGGCTTCTTGGGGGCCTCTTGGGAGCTTCTTGGGAGCCTCTGGAGGCTCTCGGGACCATCTTGGGGGAAAGGCTCGACATGTAAGTTCGCATCTCCCATCTTTGGCCCCTGCTAGGGCTCTCTTGGGGCTCCCTTGGGGGCCGTCTCAGTGGGCCCCTGGGGCCGTCTTGGGGCCCTCCCTGGCAGTCTTGGGGCTCTCTTGGGGGCCTTATGGGCCGTCTTGGGACCATCGTGGGAACACCTTGCGCCGTCTTGGACGCTGAGAAGATGAAGGCGGGCATGCTAAGCACCCACGTACTCCCAAGGGATGGGGACGATGTTTGCCTCGTGGGGTCCTCTCGTCAGCCCTTTGGGAACACTCATGGGGCGTTTTGGGGGCTTCGTGAGCCTTCTCGAAGGCATCTTGGACAGTCGTAGGGCTACCCTGGGCCGTCTCGACGCTCTCGACTCTCTTGGCGCGCTGTTTGGGCTGTCTGGGGCCTTCTTGAGGCTTTTCGAAGCCCCAGGTGCCCCAGGGAAACGCTGGGGAGCCCGCCCCCCCCCCCTCTCCTAAACGGGATGTTGGTCCCCCGGGGAGGGGGGAAGGGGGAGGGGGAGAGCCAAACGCCTCACACGCCGTTTCACCCGTCGCGAGCGGGGGTCGGCGGATCTTGAACCGCCTTCGAGGCATCTTGGTCCATCTTGGCAGCCGTTGTTGTCTGCCTGGGCCGCCGTGGAAGCTCGGGACGCGCATCCATCGGCGTTCACGAGGGTCCGTGGCCTCGGGAGCACGGACCCATAGAATCTTGCAAAGGGGCCGTGGGCTCGGGAGGGGGCGATGCACGCGGCCGAACGCGGTGGGATGGGAGGGGGGCCCTCTTCCGAAGCAGACACCCCACCAGACAGCCCTTGGCATCCCACCACGCCTCAGCGTGCCAGGCGGCGCGGTGGCGGGCAGGCGTCCCTGACCGAAGTGTCGGGGCCGTTCAACTCGAAGAGAAGAATTCCCGACCCGCCTCGCAAACCTTGCACGCCGCGGCCGCCAGCCCAGAGCGTGCCCGCGTTCCCTGGGTGTCCCGCCTCGCGTCTTCGACGAATGACAGCTGCATGCCGCGGCCGCCAGGCCCAAGGTGTGCCGGTGCTCCCTGGGGATCCCGCCTCGCGTCCCTGGGTGGGGACTGCTCGAAGCAAGCCATCTCGATTCCTACCGTTCTCTTCGTCCACGCGTAGGTCGTCGCCCCCTCCCCCCGCCGCCGCGGGAGGCACGAGGGGCCACGCCTCCGGCAGGAGGGTCTGCTGCAGCACGTGCCGGATGCCTATCCTCTGCCTGAAGCGGTGGGAGAAATTGTCCGAGGATCCCCGGGAGCGGCCGCCGCCGCCTCCGCCTTGGGCCGCGGTGCCCTCCCCACAGACCATTGGTCCCTCCCTCCCCCTGCCTCACTCCTTCCTTTCCCGTCCCTCCTTCCCCTCCCTCCGTCACTTCACCCCCCCCCGCTCTCCCTCACTCCTCGCAGGCTCTCCCTACTTCCCTTCCTTTCCTCCCTCGCTCTTCTCCATCTTCCTCCTCCTCCTACCTCTTCGTCTTCCTCCTCCTCCTCCTCCTTCCTTCCTCCCTCCATCTTCCCTCGCTCACCTCTCCCTCCTCCTCCTCATCCTCCTCCTCCTCCGCATGCTCTCCCCTCCCCCTCCTGCCGTCCTTCCCTCCCGCCCTCCCTCCTTCTCGGTCCGTGCTAGGTTGGGCTGGGCTGGGGTGGGCTAGGATAGCGAAACAACGAGAGGGAGAGGGAGAGGGAGGGAGGGAGGGAGAGGAAAAGGGAGAGGGAGAGGGAGAGGGGGAAGGAGGGAGTGAGTGCACGAGTTCGGACAGAGGGTCTGTCCAGGCCCGCGGGGTGCATGCGCCCGCTGGGCTGACCTCGAAAGGCGGGAGGTGCCGCTTGAGAGGCAGGCGTTGGGATACTACCCTCCCCCCTGGCGCGGTTTGTGGTGACAAGGGCGAGACTCGCCCCTTCTGCACGCCCGCGGACAGAGAGGCACCAGCTTCTTTATACACGCTTTGGCATGCGTGATCCGGCGCCCGCGACAGTAGAGTCGCCATTTTGGGGCATCCCCCGCGGCGGTACAGGGCTAGGGCTACGGGAAAGTTGCTTGCGGCTCGCGCAGCGGACTTAGGACATGGAGAGGGAAGCTCTGGTGTGCTATCGGTGAGCATCGAAGCGCGCCCGGGGCTTGACTAGGGCGAGGCCCCGAGGTGGCGATCGGGCCTGATGAAGGTCGATCCAAGCTGTCTGTGCTCGTTGGAGGTTGTCAAGACGGAGTCCTGACTGCTCCTGGGCGCTGCGCAGCTTATGACCAAGTCCAGTAGCACTCTAGTGCAGCATCGCGATGTGGGTAGTGCGGGCAGTGCCTCGGCCGGTGTCAACCGAGTGTCTGCGGCGTTGCGTGGCGCGGCTCCGCACGGTAGCCTGTATTGGCGTCCTTCCCCCTGGTAGGTGATGCCGAGGCTGTGAGGCCGTGGTGCCTCCACCCGGGTCTCGTAACGTGCAGCTCGCTTGGCAACACTGGCCGTGCCGACCGCTCCGATTGCCGGGCTGGTGGGTTGCCTTGGGTCGGATTCGTTCTTGGGCCGCCCCATCCTTGCCTGGTGGCGGGCGGGCAGGCTGCTTCGGTGTGGCCCTCGGTCGGTCGGCCTGGCAGAGGGCGTTGCGCCGGGGGCTTGGGCGTGCGGTGGCGCTGTCCAGCCCATCCGGTTTTGGGCGCCAGTACTGGCCCAACTGGGGGCCAGGTCCGCGATTCGTCGCCAAGCGGAGGTGGATAGGCCTCCTGCCCTGACACGTCGATTAAGGAATTGGCCGTTTTCGGTTCGCGAGAGGGCGTCGCGGTAGTCATTTTTGCGGGTCCAGGTCCGTCGGTTTCGGTCCCAGGCCGTTTTCATTAAGGGGAGGTTTACTAAAGGAAGGTTTGTCCACCGCCCACGCGTGTCCCCACTTCGGTCGTAGGCTCCCAGGCGGGGTCCTGGTGGTCGCCCTTCTGCAGAGGCGCAGTCACTTCGTGCGTTATGGGCGGCGGGGAGGGCCAGGGAGGGTCGGTGGGGGGGGGGTGAGCTGCGTGTCGAGTTGTCGTGCCCCCGTGTAGCTTGTGATGTGGTCGGCCTGACGCCTCAGGTGGGCACCTCATTCTGGGAGAGGGAGGTACAGAGAAAGAGAGTGAGAGACAGAGAGACAGAGAGACAGAAGAAGGGAGGCACGGGACGAGAGAGCGGGGGGATGGAAGGGGGAGATCACAGGAGGCAGAGATGTTACGGATTTTCTAGTCGGAGGGCGGGAAAAGAGGGAGGCGCAGGGAAGAGGGCGGGGGAAGCGAGGGAGGCGCAGGGGAGAGGGGGGGCCACCGAGGAGAAGCTGGAAGGGACGGGTTGGGACCTTCCTGTAGCTACAGCGTCGTCATCAGGATATCTGTCGCAGACACACTGCAGGCCTTCGCTCTCGAGGAGGGCCGGCGGGCTTGTGGGACAAGAAGACAAAGAATTGGAACATATCCAAGGTGCCAGAGATCCACGACGCGGCGACGCTTTCTTCTTCTCTTCGCCTGTTGATCCTTCCCCCTCCTCTCCCTCCCGCCCCTCCTGCTTCGCTTGCTCCTCCTCCTCCTCCTCCTCCTCCTCCTCCTCCGTAGGGTCTGAGCTTCACTCAGGGATCCGGCCAGGGAGAATCTGAGGAATCTTCCTCCTCCTCCTCCTCCACCTCCTCCTAGTGGTATCGGCGAACTTCCAACCACATAGACTACAGCTTCTGACCTCCTCCTCCTCGAGCACTGGAGATTATCGAGGCATCTGGGCGTTTGTGTTCTCGGGGGGAAGCTCCTGGAGTTCCCCCTCATCCCTCATCGCCCCCTTCTCCCTCTCTTTTTTTTTTCTCTCTCTCTCTCTCTCTCTCTTCCTCCCCCTCCTCTTTAACTATCCCCCTCGCCCTCTATCACTCGCCCTCCTGCTCCTCACCCCGCGCCTCTTCGAGAGGAGGATGAGCGGGTGTGGAGAATAAGCTACAGTAGCCACATATGATAATCAATAATTCCGCAGTCATGCGGTGCCCCGCGGCAAGATACTACCCCGCGAAGGCCCGAGGGACCCACAGACGCTCTGAGGCACATTAGGACCCTCAAGGATCGACGAAGAAGGTACCCAAACATTTCTCATAGCATCTCTCAGAGCGCTCGCACCATATCTGGCATCCGAGTCATCCCACCCATCCCTTCCCGCTGCTCCAAATTATTTACTGTGCGCTGGTCGTTCGTCCCAGATGGCCCCCGTCCTCGAAGTGCCCCCCCCCCTCCGGGGTGATCCGAAGTCAGGAAAGTGGGGCTTTGTAGAGTGGGCGAGGAGGAAGTGGTGGATGAGCAGAAGGGAGAGCAGAGCGTGGAGGGAGCAGGACCAGGAGGACCAGGAGGACCAGGGGACGGGCGGAGGAGGGATCACGAGGGGGACGGCAACGACGAGGAACGAGCCAGGTCCAGAAATATGGTTCGGGTGACAGCGGGGGTGACACCGCAAGTCTGAAAGACTTCATGAAAGCGCCGATTCTAAAATGCTACGACACACGCTGCAGCAGGAGCACCGCCCATTGAACGATCGAAGACGATCCGATTGAAGGGCTGGGCATGGAACCAAAAAGGGTGTTAAAACAGTCGTGGGGGAGACGAATGTGCGAGGAGGGTCGCGCCCGCACAGCACATCATCAGACGGAAGAGCAGCACTCGTGCTGCGCAACTGCAGCATCCGCGCCGGCGTCTGCGTTGCGGCAGCGCAGCGGATTCTTCGCAAGGCCGGCTGCGCGTCGCAGCGCGCAGTGCCCCCGAGGTGCCCGATTGCGGGGGTTCCGCGCTAGGCGTCGGCGACCGCGTCCGCCGCCCGCTCGTCGAAATCGGACGGAGGGAGCTCCGCACACGTACCGAGCCTGGCCAGGCCCGCCTTGGGCCTTGGATCGATGCAGATGCCTCTCTGGTCGAGCTGGGATAGCGTGTGCTTGGCCAGGATCGGCGCATATGAATTTTGCACAGCGCATAGCTCTGCACAGTGCGTAGCTTTCCTTCCCCAACAAGAAGAAGTTGGTACGTCGTTGTTTCCCCACACCCGCAGCACAGCGCCCCCAGTTTGCCGACGACTGCGACGACGACGGCGACGGCCACGGCGACGAAGTCGAAGACGAAGGCGAAGACGACGGCCGCGGCCACGGCGACGGCGACGGCGACGACGACGAAGACGATGATGAGGACGGGGACGACGACAACGACGACGACGACGACGAAGACAGCGGCCATGTCTCCCGGGGCCCGGCACCCTTTTGGCCTCTGGGGGCCGATGGTTCTACACGGGCCTCCTCGTCAGGTTTCTCTTCGAAGGGCCTCTTTGGCCTCCTCCTCTGTGGACATGTCAGGGGCAACGTTAGGGGGGCATATGCTCAAACGGGAACGCATCGACCCCCGATCACCCACTCATCGCCGATAGAGGCCTGATTCCCGCACCCCGCCCAGGAGCGTGCGCATTCGCTATCGGAGACCTGTCGCCCGTCAATCGGCGATGTATCGCCGATTCCAGCTCGATGCTCCCCCCCCTGAACCAGTCCCCCCCTGTCGGCTCCCCTCAGATGGGGGGGGCATGGAAGGAGGTGGGGGAGGAGAAATGAGGGGGGAGCCGTGTGTTCTCTCATTGGTCATGTTCTGCGTGGTCGAACAGACCTCTTGGCAGTGTTGAGGCGTTGAAGAGAAGGGGGGAGGTGGAGGAGGAGGAGGAGGAAGGGGAGAGGATATCTGTCCGTCTTCCCCCCTGTCCCCGCATAGCACGTTGGCTTCGCCCGCATCGGCCCACGCCGCCTCGGGTCCGCGCCAGTCTCCGCCTCCCCGTTCTCCCTGGGGGCACGCCGCGTCCGCGCCCACGCGAGGGCAGCCTGCCTGCCAGAGGAGAAACGGGTGCCTCTGGCCACCCCGAGTGGGCGGCCCAGTTTGCAGAGCTTACGCCTGGGGGTGCGCTTCCGGCACGTGCTCGATCGTGCTGAGGCGGAGTGGCGGCAGGCACAGCTAGCTGCACGGAGCTGGCGGCGAGGAGAATGGCGGCGCTGGGTGCAGGACGCCATGGCCAACCACAGGGGCGCCTGTACCGCTGGATCCGCGGGGGCGGGACGCTGGAGGCCGAGCTCGTGCCGGCGCCCCCCGCTGCTGGGGCCGCCGCGGCGCCGGCGCCAGTCCTAGGCCACAGGACTTGGGCAGTTGCCCTGCAGGGCGGCCCCGCCGCGCGGCTGCGCTACTTTGAGGGCCCCTGGCGCGCTCTGGCAGCAGCCACCTGCGGCAGCAGTGCCGGGGGTGTGGCAGCAGGAACTGGACGGGCTGCCCCCCTTCCCAGACAGGATTTCCTGGACAGGGGATTTTGTGAGTTGGCTATTGCGGAAGATGCCGAGGCGCAAGAAGCCTGGCCTTGACGCGTGGACGGTCTCCGAGCTCAGACTGCTGCCCGCGGAGTTTTGCACCTGGATCGCCCGGCTGTTCGAGGCGGTGGAGGCGGCGGAGGGGCTGCTGCTGCCGAAGCCTGGGGGCGGCGAGGGCCCGCTCGAGCGCCGGCCGATTTGGCTGCTGCCTGCTGTCTTTCATCGCGTCTGGGCTGCCGGCCGCGCCCGGATCTTTGCCCAGTGGCGGCGCAGTTGGGAACGCGGCTCTTGGCGGCACGGTGCCGAGGAGCAAGCTTGGGAGCTAGCCCTCGACTTGGAGGCCGCCGACGCGCTGTCAGAGGAGGTCGCTGGGGCCGCACTCGACTGGCGGAAGGCGTACGACCAGGTCGACCTGCAGACGCTCCCGGGCTTCCTGGCGCGCGCGGGCGTCCCCGCCTGGCTCGCCCGGCCCGCGCTGGCGGCCTATGGAGCGCGACGGCGCATCCGAGTCGGCAGGCCCTTGGGGCGGTTTGGGCCCCCACCCGGGGTTTGCTCCCTGGCTGCCCCCTCGCCGTGTTCATCTTGGGCGTCCTCGCGCGGCCGTGGATGCAAGCCAGTGGCCAGGCGGATGACAAGCTCCGTCGGCGCATCTATGTGGATGACTTCACATTGCGGGCCAGGGCGCCTGCTAAGTTCGGCGGCGGGGCCGCCGAGAGCGTCCGCGATGCTCTCCGCCTCGCAGACGCATTCGAGACGGCGGTGGGCTGGCGGCTGAACCAGGACAAAAGCCGACAGTTCTCTGGCAGCCGTGCCGCGCGGCAGTGGTTCGCAAAGCACACGCCCAGCATCCGAGCCCAGCCTGGCTTTCGCGACCTCGGGGTGGCGGCCGTGGCCGGCAGCGGCCGCCGCTGCAGCGGAGCCACCGCCTGCCAGGCGCAAGGGGTGTTGTTTGGTCGCTTCGCGCGCGTCGGGCAGTTGTCGCTGCGCTTCGGCCAACGCTGCCTTCTGGGCGCCGCCGCGGGCACATCGGCCAGGTTGTACGGCGCCTCCTGCGGGCGGCCTCTCGCTCGCGAGGTCGCCGCGCTCCGGGCCGCCGCGCGGCGGGCGGTGTGCCGGGGCGGATTCCGCGCAGCCGCGGAGATCGTCTTCGGCATGCTGGCGCCGAGATGGCGGCTGGACCCCCTCGCCGCGGTTGTCCTCGCGCCGCTGTGGCAGGCGGCGAAGGCTCTCCGTCGCCAGCGGACCACCGCCGCCCTGTGGCGCGCGGCGACCGGTGCGATGGCTGCGGGGCACGGCCGCGGGGCGGGCCCGATAGCCGCCGCGGCCCGCAGCTCAGCGGAACTCCAGCTCGGGGACGACGTCGAGGACTGGAGGGGGGTGCCCGCCGCGCCAGCAGGCTGGCGCCCAGAGGAGCGCCCACTGCAGGACATCCGCAGCGTCCTGCTCGAAGCCTGGGCGCGCCGGGGGGCCCGCGTCCTGGCGGCCCGCAGCTTGGATTTCGCGCGCGCGCAGGCGGGCGTCGACCGGCGCCGTGCGCGCGGTGCTGACCGGCAACGTGGTCACGGAGTCGGTGGCTGCGAAGCGGGGCAAGCCGGTGCGGCGCCCGCTCTGCGGAGCCGCGCGCGAAGACCGGCGACACCAATTTTGGGACTGCCTGCGGCGGGCAGAACAGAGGCGCGCGGCGCCCGTGGCCGGGGGGCTTTCGGCCGCTGCCTTGCAGGCCCGACTGCCGCCTGGGGTCGCGAACACCAGCGCGCTTCCGCTCGACGCCCGCCTGGCCGCGCTCGCTGCTGCCGCCAGCGCCCCCCCCGCCGCTCCCGCCCGCAGCAAGCGCAACGCGGTGCCGGGCCTGGACCGACGGCGCGTGCGAGCACCCGACCGACCCGCTGCTGGCCCGTGCCGGTTTCGGCTTCCGCCCGGAGGATGCTGCGGGCGCGCGAACCGACCGCGGCGGCGGGGTCGACGGGGCGCAGACTGCGCGCGCGCGGAGCTCCAGGCTGCGGCGCAGGCGCTTCGCGCGGCCCAGCAGCCCCTCGAGGTCGTCACAGATCCGCAGTGCGTCCGGAACGGTGTCTCCACGCTCCGGCAGGGCACCCCCCCACGGGAGTGGTCGCACTCTGACTTGTGGGAACTCATCGCACCCTTTTG